ATACATCACAGAATTAATGAAAAAACTTAAAATAGGCCAGAAAGACACCCACGTTACAGTAACTCGTGATTGTTTTAAGATATATTAACCAATAATAAATGATGAGGTGTCGGCGATAGTGATGGTGGTGATAATAGATGATGGCGATGTTGGTGAAGATAGTGATGATGATTATGATAATGATGCTGATAATGAGAATGGCTGATAATAATAGGCCTAATACTAATACTTATGATGATGATTGAGATGATGATGATGATGATGATGATGATGATAATGATAATGATGAAAACGAGGATGATGATGATGACGACGATGATGTTGATGATTGCACAAATATTTACTTATTTATTACCAGTTTGCATATTTCCTTCATCGAAATGCATTCACATAATTAATTTTTTTCAATTTTCTGCATTCTTATTGAATATTGTATTACTTTATTGTATGGAAAATAAAAGTATATTTGATTTGTTTGATTTGATTTGACATAGTGAGGATTAAGTATCACATAATGCCTAATGTAGAATAGCTGGATACTTTGCACTAGCCATGATTCACCGTTGGCGAAGGGCATTTTAGTCGCTCAGTCAGTCGCTAAACCACGAATTGTCGTCAGATCTCTAAAAGTGACTAACACTTTACACGAATTCTGAAACGACAAATTTTCTTTCAATTCTATTTTGCAGCAACGCGGCAACGTTTTTGCAACTTCAAATAGGTAATTTCCACGTCAGGATCAATTTTCCATCGTTAATTGTCGTTGAAATCTATTTGATTTATCACTAACAATAAAGTCAATAGTGTTCCAAGGAAGTAAAACAGCATGAAAATACGGTCCACAACCAGTGCAACTTGCTTCCACTCTCCATGAAACTGTTCGTTTTTTGCTTTGTCGAAAATTACATTCTTCAGGCTACGAAACTCTTCCAAAAGTGTTCTTAGAATGTCCATTTCTCGCATATTAAGCTTGTTTGAACCGGGCGATGTTTCGTCAATGGAATTTCTGTGTTCGCTAGATCTGTCAACCCTTGGAAGAAGCAGCTCAGAATTACCCATGTCTAGGCCTAGGTCTGAGTGCAGGCTATCATTTTCACAAATGTCGATCATTTCAATCTTTTCGGGGCGTTTCCGACGTCTTTTGGTGTAACGTACTGTTTGGTGAACAGTGTGGTTTCCAAAACGTGACGATGTTGACGAATCATAGTGTACGATGTTATTGCACGCAGAGTGATTCTTGTGAGATACTGCTCTCATAAGTACCATCTTTGCAATACGGCCTAGAAACAGCTTGCGTAACCATCCTGGGACTGCTTGACTTTCGGGGCCTCGGTGGTGAAGGTTTAAGACCACAACTGACATTGTTAATGATAATGAAACCATTACCATTGTGGAAGCATAGTATATTGCTGTTGAAATAACATAAAGTACATAGTTATAAATGATAGTCCTAACAATAGATTTATTGCAGGATTAGTTGATACAGTAAGACAAAAAAACCACTCTAGGCCTACCAGTGCATAACATTTATATTGAGAATGAGGTTCTAGAGTATCATCGAATGTATTTATTAATATTTATCCGATATTTTGCGAGTCATCCGTTGTTGGAGTTTTAATTTTTTTTTAAATAGGGGCTAGTCTTAAAGCCAGGCTCCGGAGAAGAAAAAATGTTTGATATATTGTACAATTCATTTTTCTAAGACACAGAAAGCATATTTTGACGAAAACCTCGGGGGCAGTTAATAAGATACATATGTTTTAATATTAAGCAACTGTGGAGAAAAGGTGGAAAAGGGGTGGTTGCGCCCCTTTCCCCAGTTTTTTAAATATTAAAAAATATGTACTGTATCTCATTAACCTTTTCCGAATTTTTGTTAAATATGCTTTTTGTGTCTTAGAAAAATCAAACATTTTTCCCCTGGACTGGAGCCTGGCTTTAAAGGGCGATGCCTGAAATCTTTAAATCTTGTAATTGATTACCATTGGTATTGGCAGTGCGGTTATTTTAAATCATGTGTTAATGCTTATGTAGTACGGTAACATAATTAACACTATGGCATAAATTTTTGATGAATAGCCTCAAATTACCAATGAAAAGATAGCAGCTGACCTACCAATTATCGGAACGGCACCGGTGGGAGGCAGTAACTCGGCAACTAGGAGAAGGAAGACCGTGAGGGAGAGTAGAACAGTAATGCCTAAGCTCACCTTCTCTCCTGACTCAGGTGGTAGAAAGAAACTCAGCAATGTCGTCGCTGAGATCAATGTGCATGGCATAATCAAATAGAAAACGAAATAAGTTGGAACTCTTCGGAGGAAGATGTAGTAGGTGACAAAGGTATATGGTACGGGATCGTCATCTGGGTATATCTTATAATCTTCCCGGCCGTTGTCAGCACTAAACATGAATATTTCCCATTCACTAGAACTCACATTATAAAGGTATAGACTGTGAGAGCCTGTAAGAGTAAGAAAAAATTAAAAAAAATATAGATACTTTTGTTCAATAGAACATGAACCCAGTCATTTTTCATGATTTGACCCAGTTGGCCCCTGTAACTTTTCACCACAAGCTGTGAACACCCCATTTTTGGTAGGAGTCTGTCTAATGCAATCTGTCCAACTGTTTGTCACTATTTGGTAATTTCCACCTTAATGATCCCTATGACTTTTGGCCTTTGACCTTAATTGACACTAAGAGCATATTAAAACACATTTACAATGTCCTAAGTATTCCATAATTAATTTGAAATACATCAAAAAAATATGAAAAAGACTGCCCTTGACCTATGAACTTTGACCAATAGGGTGAAGAGATTTTTTTTCCATGTTTACAAGGTCCTAATGATCATTCCTGGTAAATTTGAGCTCAAATGGGCTATTTTTTATATTTGACACTGATTACCGCTATGTGACCCCTGATCCCAGACTGGAGTGTAGGAGGTGTCATTAGTTCTTAATGACCAAAGTTGACTGAATTCGATCTAATCGTTTGCCATTAGTAGCATTTTGAAATGTTACTAGATAGAACGAAAGAATAACCGTTTAATGACCTTTTACCCTACATTTCTGAGCACCACAAGGACCCTACTTTAATGCAATGCATATGTACCCAGGACAAGAAGTCTTTTAATATTTTTTAGATTTGTTTACCCTAGTGACCTTTGACCACAAGTGATGAATACCTCATGTATGGGAGGTGCCACCGGTTATACAGTACTACAGTAATCGGCACAACCATTTGGCACTAGTAGCGTTTTGAAATGTTACCAGAAAAAAGATAAAAATTACCTTTTAATGACATTTGACCCCAAATCCCTGAGCACCCTATATACTCTGCCTTATGCCAATGCACAAGACTGTGCTGTGTTATTTGTGAGAGAAGTAGTCTTTTTTAAGATTTTTTGTTTTTTGACCCTAATGACCCATGTGACCTTTGATCCCAAGTTGTGAACACCCCATAAATGGGAGGAAAGAAAGAAAGCTGTCCATTTCGCTTGAGTTCTTGGACAAGGCACTTCACCTACGTTTGTCTCTCTCCACTCAAGAGTATATTAATATGTACATGGTTCACTAATGAGGAGCACAAAGGCTGCGTGGTAATGAACTTGCCGCCCTACCACAACAATGGCGAGGCTTAGTATGGATGGGCTAACAGCTCATCCCCTTACGTTAATACAGGACTACCTTTAAAAAGAAATAATGATAATGATATACTATAAAAAAAAATTTAATATTCATTTAATAATAATGTTAATAATAGACCGAACAATAATGTGATCATAACGATCGCCGACATAGTTGTCACAATCGTCATCGTCGTCATTGTTATCATCGTTATCATTATAGCATCCTAAAACATACCATGATATTATTTTTGTTGGCACCAGGGGCAGACTGGCATATCGGTCAATCGGTCGCGGGCTGATGCCCCTTTGGGGTTTGGCGCCCTTTTGACAAAACAAAATTAAAAATACGTAAAAAATAGATTTTTACTGTTGGTGCATGTTGAGCAGATTCCTGGAATATTGTGATCTGAAATTCGTAATAAAGACAAGTAGTGTAGGCCTACTATACATCATTTTTGGAATACAATACAATTTTGAGTCTGATAGTGTCATTTCCGGCCATCTAGAAGTGCCAGAAACATAAAAATTTCCTACCTGAGCCCCAACCCTGTCTGTAAAATTTGCTGTGTACACCAACCCCTCCATTCATGTCTATGTCGAATTCCAAGATCCCAAGTGTCGTAATTTGGCGAATCGTCTTCTATCCATAACCTTATTGGTAGAATACCAACCATGAGTCACCCTAAATTTTGAGTCTGATAGTGTCATTTTCGGCCACCTAAGATTGCTATATACATTAAAAAAATTGTTGGGATGTGGACAATGATTATATTTAGACATGGGGTCTGTGAAGATTTTTTACAGGTCCAAAGGGGTCCGCGAACGCAATCAGGTTGGGAACCAATGGTCTACACAACTCGAACCCTGACTCAAACACTGACTCAAACACATCATGTTGCTGTTCTTGGACCTCGCCTACACTCTTCTTACCAAACCATTGCACTGGTGCTGTTTAGTTCTGTGCTGTTCTTACCATTGTTTCTCATACATGTTTATTAATCAGATTCACGAAAATTGGACACTTCCAACTATTTCCGATAAGCTCACAGAGGCCAATGCTTACCGAATGGGCAATGCAACTTAGAATATCTACAGGAGATCATTTAACATGGAATATACATGTATAGAAAGAGTATACGATTTAGTAAACAGGTATTATTTTATCAAGTAGGCCTTATTATCTTACCTGTTCCATTCAATGTGATTTCATTTGCACCGTGCTGCCATGGTCCAAATTTTACCAGGCAAGTCTGTTGGTCGAACGGAAAATGAGTGACATCCATCGTGCAATGCGTTGTGATTATTGCAGGCGATTGCCACACCACACGACCAGAATTATAGATGCTACATATAGAATTTGTGTAATAATGTTCGTATCTACTTCCGGCACTGCAAAAAAATACAAGAAAAACAAAACAAAACAAAATAAAACAAAAATAACAGAAAATAACAACAACAAAAAAGAAAGAAAAAAAGCGAAACTTAGTTAATTTTCAATGTAGTGCGCATACCGTAGCTCATATTATTAGGCCTATTGTTGTGTTATCCTAGACATTTATTAAGTATGATAATTTACTTTATTCTAATTTTCTAAAGTTTTTACAAGTAATTCAGCCTTAGTATAACGTATTAATTTTCCTTTGTTCTTTTTGAGTGTATCACTTCAATGCGAGCGATACTGACACATTGAGTCATTTGTATGCAGTAGATTACTTACGGCGGGGTTCTATTAATGAAATCTATCTTTCTGAGTTACATATTCAGTATAAATGCTCTGACAACTATCCACGCAGTGTTCATCGGTAGATGACAGCTGAAAGCCCTCCACCTTGGCCAATGAAACAAATGGTATTTAAAAATCCAAATGAATTAGTTACGTGAAGAAGGGAGCGCTATCCACTGCTCGCTTTGACAAGCGGCGCGGCGTGTGGATTGAACTGGTGTCGATAACTTACTTATTGTACAACCACAAATCTGGCATCCATACTTTTTCGTTCGATGTCTTGAAATTAAATACGCCATTATAGTCATCTGGGTCCCAGCGAAGGTATTCGTCGTACCATCGCTGTGGATATATTATATAGAATGTACGGTTAGGATAAGTTAATACCATTATTACGTAAATTGAAACACACACAAACAAATAGATAATTAATAAAATTGCACAAAAGGAACAATATGTTACAGATGGATGGATGGATTTAATTTTCAGAAGGGTGTACTGTGTTATATATATATTGCAATATAATATAGCGTAACAGTAATGAATACAGTATAAATATATATACGGTATATATATATATATATATATA